TAAAATGGGGTTCATTTTTGTTGCAACTCATTTTGAGATTAGTAAATTACAAACTTCATGTTACTCAATTTGAGAGCGTGTCATTATTAAACTGATTTACAATTTAAATAACTTTTTCTAATATTTGAATAATATTTTAAATAGGATTCTTAACGTCAGTGCGAATAATTTAATATTTTTTCAAGTAAAAAATTATAATAATTATTCATTTAAATAATAATTTTTAGTTTTTAAATTTCGCGCCATTATTTATAGATTGGCAGTACCGTTTTTGTTGACAAAAACACATATTTTCGCGTTCCTAACCTAAAAATATGTTTCTCTTACTTAAAATTTTGGTGCTGCAATGAAAAAATTGCTCTACATTCAATTAACTTCATTCATATAAAAATTCATGGCAAATATTAAGCATGAAGTTAATTGAATATAGAAATATTCCTTTAAAAAAATTTCCTATGTACAAATTCCTAAAGTTATTAAATTTCCCTAATTTCTTAATAATTTGAATTAAAAATTGAAATTCAAAAATAATTCAAATAATTAAAAAAAAATATTGAATTTTAATTTATTTTTTTGTTGTTACTAAAATACACAAAAAATTAAAAGGTATTAAAATAAGCTGCAACGCTTATTATTTTAATCCAATTTTGCTTATTTTAATCTATTTTGGTATTAAAATAAGCAAAATTGGATTAAAATAATAAGCGTTGCAGCTTTTTTTTAATATCTTTTAATTTTCTGTGATTTTTCGTTAAGGCAGCTTCTGTACCAAAATTTTTTCAGCGACGATTACAAGCTATACATTTTAAATTACACAGAAAATTAAAAGGCATTAAAATAAGCTGCAACGCTTCTTATTTTAATCAAATTTTGCTTATTTTAATCCATTTTGGTATTAAAATAAGCAAAATTGGATTAAAATAAGAAGCGTTGCAGGTTATTTTAATACCTTTTAATTTTCTGTGTAAACAATATAAGTTTAGTTTGTAATTTTTATTAGACATCTATTATATTTTTTGGGGGTATTTATTTAATTACTTGTTATTTGATAATATTTTTAAACATTTATCTTTTACTCGAAATGAAACTGTCCTGTCTCATATCGATACTTTTTTTAGCACTATGAGACGCAACCATAGTTTCATTTTTAATTTCTATAAAAATTGAGTATGAATTTCGTACTTAATTTGAGATTACGTTTTTTCTGTGACAAATAAATATTTACTTGAACCAAAGAATTTTTATTTGAATTAAATAAACTATGTATATTTGAACCAATAATTTCTATATTTGAAACAAATATCATTTCAAATAATATATTATTTGATACAAAATAATAATTATTTGATACAAAATAATAATTATTTGATACAAAACAATAATTATTTGATTCAAATAGTACAATTATTTGATACAAATAAATATTTATTTAATAATAAGTAAACGTTTATTTAAATCAAATAAATTTTTTTTTCTCATTTTCAGTTCAGTTTTTTTTTTTCATTTGCATTTGTTAATTCGCGCAGTTCTTTTTGCATTGAATAAAAGTCGTTTGCTTTATTCAATTTGACGGATTTTGCACGTCGAATCATAGAGAGAGAGAGAAAAAGAGACTATTGCGCCTAATTAAGGCAATAATACCGTCAAGAGGTGTGAGAGAGAAATTTTTTTTTTTTTTTTGCACAAATAGAGAGAAAGAGATGTTCAATTGCATTGAGGCATATATTCCCGAATGGAAGTACATATTGTATGTATTAAAGTGCATTATATACGTTATATAATATATATATATACGTGTATATAGAGGAAAATTGCACATCCGACCAAGTAGCGTATAGTATTCCCAGTGTGTATATAACAATGTGTATATAGCTCGCGCGGAGAGCTTGTTTGTCGACAATTTCTCCCTTTAAGCGTCGGAAGGCGTCAATATCCTCGGTTAATTTACCAAGCCATCATTACATCAAAACACCATTACACACACCTCTTCTTTTTTTTTCTCTCTCTCTCTCTCTCTCTCTTCGGGTATAAAAAATAATTATACATATTAAAAAATAGAAAAAAGTATATCCTAATTTTAATTACCTTGCATATTTTATATATATTATGCGCGAGAGGAAATCAAAATTGATAAAAAAAAAAATAAATTTTTTCGGTATATTAATCAGCTTGTATCAATATTTAGTCGGATTGAAAAAAAAAACGTATTTCTAAGATTGTCTGCTGGCTTTCATATATATATATAATGACACATATTATATATGTGTATCATCAGAGGAAAAGAGAATAGCGCAGCTATATAATATATTTATGATGACATGTTGTCGGTGTATTGACATTACGCCAAATGTGCGGCATAAAAATTCAAGTGATCTGTGATAAATACATATATATGTATTTTTTTAAAAAACGCTCTTGCATTGTAAATATATCCAAAGAAATTTTTTTTTTTGTAATTTTTGGTATATAGAAAAAAATTGAAAAGAGTGTTTTATATTTATATCAAATTATTGTAATATAAAAAAATGGTATAAATAAAAATGTTCCTATATCGTATATATACACTGGCAAAAAAAATAATAAATGAATATAATTTAATAAATAATTTATTAATAATCAAAAGTAATTGTAATATTAATTATATATTAATTTGCAAAATATATGTAAAAATTAATTATTTCGAAAAAATGTACTTTTTTCTTTTAAGGGTATTTTTTAGAATATTTTGTAAAAAAATTTATTACTAAATATTATTTATTTATACTGTAAATATATTCTTTTTTCATATAAAAAATTTCGTCAAATATGCGTCTAAAATTTAACATTTATTCAGTGTTAATGACAAAAAAAACTTCATTTTTCAAATTTAATTATAGAAACAAAAATTTAATAAAACTATTCTCTATGTTCTTTCTCTTTGTAGCCTTTTATTTTTAAATAAATAAATAAAATAGAATAATTATTAAAAGAAAATTATACTCGAAAAATTGTAATAATAAATTAATAATTATATTAAAAATACATAATAATATTTATAATAATTTTTATATTTTATTTTATTTATAACAATATTAAAAAATAAATTTTATTCATATAATATTACTGTTCCTTTTTTTTTGGTTTTATTTTTCATTATACTTTTTATTATTTTCGTTCTTCACTTTATTATATATATTATTATTACACTGAAAAAAATATATTTGTTTCAAACAATCGGTTAATTGACTATTATCAAATAAATACTTACTTGAAGCAAATAATTATTATTTGATTAAATTAAATTAGTATTTGTTTCAAATATACAGAAAATTATTAGTTTAAATTCAATTTATTTAATTCAAATAAAAACTATATTTGGTTCAAGTAAATATTTATTTTATAATACTCAAGTAACCGTTTAGTTGAATCAAATAAATTTTTTTTTTAGTGTAATATTTATTGAATATTATTATTATTATTATTATTATTATTATTATTATTATTATTATTGTTATTATTATTATTACTATTATTATTATTGTTATTATTATTATTATAATTATTATTATATATTATTATATATTATTATATATATTATTATCAATATTTATTATAATTGTATTTACTAATTCAGATTAAATAATAAAAATATGTATGCAAAATAAGTGAAAAAGATAATTATAAAAAAAATGAATGATTTTTATTTATTTATTTATTTAAAAAGGTAAACGCGATAATAATAATACATATTGTGGTTGTACAATATGCGATTAAATTTAAGATAACAAAAAGTCAAAAATAGTCAAAATATAAATATTTTTTTTTTTAATACCATATATATTATATAATATAATATATTTTTTGATTAAATATTAATAATTTAAACTTGAACATAACCTTAACAAGTCAACGACATATTTTATTCCAACATTTTTTTTTTTTAAATTTTTAAATAAACAAAAGATTCAAATCCGCTTTCTGAAATATTTTTATGATTTTAATTTTATAATAAAAAAAAAAAAATAATAATAATAATAATAATAAATAATAATAATAAAATAAAAAAATTATAATATATAAATTTTGTTTTATAATTTTTTGAAAAGGAAACACTTTTGTTTAAAATTTCGAAAAAAAATTTTTAACAGTGCCTAGTTAATTTTTTATAGTAATTTATTTAATTAATTTTTAATCAGTAAACTTTCTTAAAATAAAAATAAAATTTTAATATATAAAATAAATTATAAATTATATGTATTTATACATATATATTAATTAATAATAATAATAATTTAATTATTATAAAATTAATTTAATTTGTAATTTCTATATCAAAAATTTTTAAAAGCCTTATTATTATATGATTATTATAAATAAATAATGAACTGATAATATATATATAAATGACTACATAAACAAATATCTTAAAATTTTTAATAATTTTTAGTTAAATATTACTTGATTATTATCAAATAAATATTTATTTCTATATCAAAATAATTATAATTTGTTTCAAATAAAGAAATTATCAGTTTAAATACAATTTATTTAATTCAAATAAATTTTTATTCAGTGTAAAAAATTGTAGTATAAATTTCCCTTAACTTTCTGATAAAATATTACTATTTCATTTAGTAATATTATGTTTACTAAAATTAAGTATAAAGTATTAAGTATTAAGTATTAAGTATAAAAAATTAGTATAAATTAACACTAATTTTTAATAAAATATTACATTTTCATTTAGTAATATTTTTCTTTACTAAAATGACTAAAAATTAGTCGAAATCATTAATTTTTAGTAAAATATTATACTTTAGTATAATTAAATATACTAATAAAATTTAATTTTTCTTCATACTAAAATTTTAAGAAAAAAATAAATAAAAATTATTCGAAATTTCCATTAATTTAAATAAACGAATTTCTCTTTAAATTTAGTGCCAAAAGTATATATATATATGGTAACTATTATCGAACTGTTTATTAAATAACACCATCACAGTGACCACGTGACTTACCAAGAGTAGCCGACGGCCGACGCTTAAGTCCCACCTCGCGGTCTTGAAACCACTGAATCCAAAGTTCTTCTTCACTTATTATTTATCAACAAATTTATTACTATCACTGTGACCCCAAAAAAATTGTTTTCTCTCTCTCTATATATATATATGTCCAAATAAAACACTCAAATACACCCGGCAAATCAAAAAAAATTTTAACCTCACTGTCGCGTTTCCTTATTTATAACAAAAAAAAACAACCCTCAAAAAAGTTTTCTTAAACAAAACAACTTTTGATCACTAAACACAGAATTTACATTAAAAAAAAATATATATATATATATTGCACAATTTTCTCGTCACTTTTTTCTGAAATTAAAAAGAAAGAAAAAAACCACAAAAAATCTAGAGAGAAAAATTAAACCCTTTTTATAGATAATAATAAAAATTGAATCACTGAATTAAAGGAAAAAAAAAATTTATTTATATACTGTCCCAGCGGTGAGTGAAGAAACGCGTGGCGATTTGTTTCGCGTTTACTCCGCATATATAGAATTGACCGACAGCGCGCTACTTGTCGTTCTGCTGATGCTTTCAGCTGCTGTGAATCTCAGTTCTGTGGTAGATTTCTCGTTTAGTTTAAACGGAGGGAGGAAGGGGTGGGGGGGGGCAAAGAGGGGTTTTTGTTGCTAGTAAAATAGGTGGCGGGGGAAGTTTGGAAAACGAGAGAGAGAGAGATAGAATTTTGTACACTGAAGAAAGATGGATAGTGAAATAAGTGGTGGGGAGGGAACGAGTCACCAGTGAAGAAAGAGCGAGTAAGAGAGAGAGAGAGAGAGAGAGAAGAACCTCCCTTCGGAGAAGTCGCGCAGAGGTCGCAATCCACGTTTCTGAGTGTTGGGTTGTGCTCACGACCCGTGTTCTGTAGGTTCTAGTGTGTGGGGTTCCGGTTTCCGTGCGGCCAATAGAAAGGGCGGTGCTCTACCCTCCTACCCTCCAAAAATTATAAGGGGGGAAAATGTGGTGGGGGATTTGCTTTCGCGCTCTGACATCATCGATTCTGAATGGATGAAAATGCTCAACAGTGCAGAATGTACATTGGAGGGCGCTGCCTTCCTTTACTCTAACCAATATTTATAATGCGCATGCCCATTGCGCTGTAGGGGTGGTTTTGCCCTTGTGCGCATACCTCCAATATGAAAATTTAGATCACACTTCTCCGTCTGATTATCAGCATATAGGAGAATAGATATATATATAAGTTTTGCTTTTCAGTCCGATGAGGTTAGGATTATTGGCGCTTAATTTTGATAATACTAAAGCAATTTTTAAAAAATTATTATTTTTTTGATTTTTTAATTGTTATATTGTTTTTCAAAAATAGGATTTTTAAGAATGTATTTTTGAAAATTAGAAAATATAGATATTATACTTAAGAATTGGTATACTATTAAACAAATAATTGTTATTATTATCTTTTTAAGGTAAAAAAAAAATGTAATAAATATGTGTTATTGCATCATATATTTTTTTTTTTAGAAAAAAGAATCAAAAAATGAAGTTTGTATTAGCGGTATTTAAATCTGATGTAATATTAACAAAAAATTCATAAGGCACACTCATACACACATTTTTTTTTGGATGTCGTAAAACTTGAGCATATATATCATATATTGGTATATAATAATTGATGCGCTTTTTTTTTTAATTCTATTTGTACAAATGTTTTCAGTCATTGGCACAGGTGCGCGGGTCCATGAGCTTTCTGCTCTGTATAATAAAAAAATCACTAAAAATAAGAAAATTAGGAAAGCATATTATATATATGTTCGCGAGAATTAAACTGTTTTTAGTTATTTAATTAATATTCTTTTTGTGTTGGAGAAATTGCATATAATTATTTTTTTACTAATTCGTAAAATAATATATTAAAAATTTACTAACGCAGTGTTATATTTAAAAATTCAGAAATTACCGTAACTTTTTTTTTTTTATTTAAAGTTATGTTGAGCCTATTATTCTTTAAAAAATATAGAAATTAAAATTATTGGAAATTTGATAGAAAATAATTATTTCTACAATGGAATTATTTCTAGTTCCATGGACCAATTTTTCTCTTTATAATTTTAATCTCAATATTTTTTTTAAAGAAGAAACATATAACATAACCTATTAGAAAAAAAACATGTTACATTGGCAGAAATTTCAAATAAATATTAAAAAATTGAAAATATTCAAAAATTCAATTTGACAAAATTACCGGAAAAAAATATTATTACAGTGCACCCAGAGAGAAAGATTATTTCTTTAATTTAAAGAAACCTATTTCTATATAACAATTGTTTTCCTTCATTCAAAACAAAATTATTTCTTACAAACAAAAAATGTTTCTTCGTTTCAAAAAAAAATTTCTTTGATTCAAAGAAATTTGTGCATTCAATCAAAGATATATTAGGGTCAAAGAAACATTTATTTGAATTAAATAAAAAATTTATTTGAAACAAAGATAATTTTTTTTTATATATATAATTTGTTTGGAAAAAATAAATTTTCTTTCTACCAAAGAAAAACTATTATTGTCAAAGAAATTGATTTCTTTAAATCAAAGAAATATTTTTTCTGTATTTTTCTGTAAATGTGTAAAGTGCACACATTTCAAAGAGAGAAAGAGAGAGAGAGAGAAGGGGGGGTGGGGGGACAAAAAAAAGTTTTGAGCGGGTACGCGCGCGAACGTCGCCTTCGAGGATATTAAAATATAATTGGCGTTTGTCCCCTTTGTGCAAAACGGTATCTAGTCACGCGTGGGTCGGTTATGGGTGTTATATACGCCAGAGTGCGCCACGGGTGACTCATCCTCTTGCTCTCTTCTTGTGCTCAGCGCTATATCGCCAGGGGTAGTTGCACCCAACAACCCCTCTGCCACTTATGCGTATATATACGTGCGTTCTACGCTCTCGCTTTTATGACACTTTTCTCTTTTTTTTCGCTTATCAGTTTCTCTCTCTTTCTCTCTCTCTCTCTCACTCACTCTCATCTGCTAATGAAAAAAGCTTTTCACACAAAACGCCCGCGCGCTTACAATGACGCGCGAAAATTATTCTGTCCCAGTTACCGTTGAGGGCGAACGATCTACATATAAATATATATATATATATATACATGTGCGCAAGAAAATATATATGAAATCTTTCTATAAAGTCAAAAAAAAAATCATTTTTTTTCCTCCACATATGTTATAAATGTATAAGGAAGATATCTGAGTAAATACATTTATTATATATATTCATATACAAATCAGCATATATATTAATTATATTGCAAAAGTCAAATTTATGCGAATTTATTTCTAAAAACGTGATTGATAAACTAAATTTAAACAATTTTTGATTTATCATTGAAAAATCTTTTAATAAAATCTAAAATATCCTATTGCTGATTTTTACACAAATTTATATGCAAATCTATCCTCAAATCCTATTCTGCTGTGCAAAAATAAAATACCGTAACTTCTTATTTTATTTCTAGGTTATGTAGCTTACATACTGTAAAACAAAATATATTAATTTAATACTGATTTTAGATATATACTAAAATGTCATATTTGGCTCTATTTTGATACTTTAAATAGTAACATTTCTTTCATGTGATATTAAAAGGTAGAAATAATTCACAGAAAAAACGCTGAATAAATTTTGTTGTGCGTATAATTTTAACCAATGCTAATTCACATAAACGGTGGCTCCCTCAACTAGGATAAAATTAATTGCAATTAATTTTTATACCAAATTTGGCGTAAAAATTCTACTTTTTTCGTATATTATTTCTATCAAATTTAAATCAAATTTTCCATAATTTTAATATCTATATTTTTTTAAAAGAAGAAACAATGGATAACATAACCTATAAGTAAAAAAAAACAAGTTACGGTATTTTAGTTTTGCGTATTATTTAGTGTGAAATAAGATCCTGTGTAATATTTTTGAAATATACATGTTATATATATATATATATATATATATATATAATTTTGTGTGTATGAGATGAAGGCAAGCGGGAGGTCACAATGTGAAGCTGGCTTTAGGGGAATCACACCGTGGAAGTAACGCGTTTCGATTTTGCGTTAGCCCAGCTACGCGTGAATCCAGCCAAGGTCAAGTCGCTCCCCGTACCAAAGCATCTCTTGCCACTTGGAAATCTACATATCTTATCGTATTAGGTGTAATATCTTAGCTATATTACGCAACAGATAAAAAAATACATAATATGTACAAATACATCAAATTTCAAAAATACATTTACTTTTCATTCTAATATGAAATTTTACCAATTAAATTTTTTATTTTTAATTCTATTCTTTTTAACAATATTTATTATTTGCATTTTTTCTATGTATAGTAAAAAATATGATATTTTTTATTAAAATTTAAAATCACTAGAGAAACATAAAAAGGAATAAATAGTCTGACAGACCGGGAAAAGCACTAAGGGTATTTTTTAGCGCACTAAGTATAGTGTAAAGATTACAGCTTTTTTTCCAAAATATATGGATATATATATAATATAGAAGTTTCATAAGTCCGAAACCGATTCCAGAAACTTTGTTTTCTTCACCTGTGAATAATTTTTATTAGTGTGCAATTTAGAGTCGTATATATTATTTTTAATAATGTTTTTCGTATACACAAATATTTCGTAACAGAGACTGAAAGACTTTTTGTTATAAAAATTAATATAATTTCTTTCAAAATAAAAAAAACTGTTTTTGTACTATTTAGTCGTATATATATATGAAACGTAGCTTCTACCCAAATAATACCAAAAATTAATATGCGCAGAGAAAAATGGAAAAGTTACTTTATTTTTGTTTTCTATTTTTCTCCGTGTACTGTATATTTAAAAAAAAGTTAAAAAAGAAAATTTTTATAAATGTTAATATATTTGCGGTCTGTAAGATCTGTATAAAAGTTTAAAGGTAATTTACTGACCATTCTGACGAACTTTACCATACTGTATTGTAATATCTGCTATCATAATATAACATATATACGTTTACTATATATATATATACCTCGTTAGGTTACAGAAAATACAAAACACAAGGCCTTTTATAAAAAAACAAAGTTTGACTTATATCTTAAAATCATATAAAGTTAAGGAATCAAATTTCTTATTTCCATAAAAAAAATAAATTCAAATTAAATCAGTGTGTTATTTTTTCACATATCGTGGTGATTTCAATTGGTGGCGTGTAACTGTAGCAGGTGAGAGAGAGATGGAGAGAGATGAAAACCAGGTGAGTGAAGAAGAGACGAGGAAAATGATATATAGGACATAGAGAAATGTGAGAGAGAAATAAACAACAAAGAAAAGGAGGGAGAGAGAGAGAGATGATGAGAAGGAGGGAAAAGCAAACAAATTAACCTCACAGGCTTGTTTATTATTGGGTGGGGATAGGGGAAACCACGCCTTTATGAAGCACGCCCTCCAATGGGATGTCCTTTCTATCCCCACAACGTATAAACCACCCCCTGACACCTCATGCCACGCGGAGAAGCAGGCGGTGATAGCGAATGACATCACGCACCGCAACCAGTATGCAACAGGCTGCCCTGTACATCATTCATCTATTCACACCGAAATTATATTTTTTATAATTTTTTTTTTTTTTTAAATTCCTAATTTCTATTTTAATTTCTACACATAATTTTCAGAAACGAGGAAAAAAATGTAAATGATGCAGAAAAAAAGAGAGGCTCAGCATTGGTGATGATATGCTGTAGAGGCATTTATCTTATACTAAAGAGAGAAATGAGGAGGAAGGGGTTGCATTGTAAATTATACCATATATAGTATAGATAGAGAGAAATTCATGCTCTGATGACGCAGCGTTAACCACT